TTAGTCCTGCTCATCTTCCTTCCTCATAGGAAAGGAGGAATTGCTTTATGAAATGACAATACAGTTGCATTCACCCCAGTGTTCTGCCTCCAGAGAGGGTCAGAAGAAGATTCCTGAGGTAGGGAGAAAGACTTCACAAACAATGTAGCAGTGACCTTCCCACATGGGAGGCCTTCCTAACATCCTTATGAACAAGACATGTCCACATAATGATTTGGGTGTGAGAAAAGTGAGTATATTCTTTCTGCCCATATGGTGAAACTTTTAACTACCATTTCTCTTTGTGCTTAAAAAGAAGTAATTTCTATGAGTGAGTGTTGGAGTTCTTGAACTGCATTATCAGAGTTTTTATTAGAAATCGGAGAAGGGGTTAAACCGGTGTTAAGGAAAATAACACTTGCTCCTCTTGCCATTCAGTATGACTGACAGCTGACTGTGAGTGATGTAGCTGATGCAGTGCTTAAACCTGTGATACCCACCAGTTTAAGTTTTCAACAAGGAAAAAAGACTACTTTGAGGGATTTGAGGCAGTCACTACATAGGTGTACACTTGCAATGTTTTCCATATGTAGGTGATTTAGCAAATGTAGATGGCCTGGTACTGTCTAAGACTTCTCAAACCGAGATGGAAATGGAAAAGAAAAGGGATCAAGTTGTTTCCATAATGTTGCTGATGGGCAGAGAAAAATAACTAGAAGAATGATAGAGTAAGTGACTTTGTTCAATCGTAAGTAATTTAAGGTCTGTATACCACAGAAGACTATCTTAGTGTTTGGTGACTAGGTAATATTTCTGATATTTACTGCTTGCTTTGACTTGCCAAGTAGATAACGTGGATAATTTTCTGTGGACTTCACAGGTAGGGTGTTAAATCTACTAAGGACTTCTAGATTGGATTGGTCCTGTGTGGATGCTTAACCCCAGAGCTTTTCCTGGTTACTGGAACAGTTCCCCTCCTGTGCTGGAGAGCCATGGGGGGAGGAACACGAGGAGGAAGGGGAATCTTGTCTACCCGCCTGTCAGAAAAGCAAAATTCAGCAGCTGCTGTGGGGAACCCCTCCTTTTGCTGAACCAGCAAAGCGGCAGCAGCTGAGGAGCAAGAGGGCGCACACAGCAGGCGATGCCTTCTGTGCAGGGTGGCAGTGACAGCAGAGGTGCTGAGTGTCCCACCCCTGGATCAGCAAGGTAAGATACTGCTGGGAAACGGGGGTTTGAGTTACCTCTCTCTAAAGAGATGGTTGAACGTTGAACTGAACTTTGGTTGTTCACCCGGAATGTGCAGGAGTTAGAGGCAAGAGGTTCTGCCATAGAGCTCCCCCATTACTTTCCAGAGCACGGATGTCAGTATTTATTTCCTGATGGGTGTTCTGGACTGTGATTGCTGAGCAGCGATAAGCCACCAGCCCAACTCCTGAGCGCAAAGATGCTTATTTGCTAGGGAGAGGGTGATCAGACAACTCCCTTTTGGCCATGTGTCCAGTGACTAGTTCAGACAGCTCCCAGCCTTGGCTGGCTGCCTGCCTCCAAGTGCAACCCTTTGGTGCCTTTCTCTTTTGGATGCGTCGGCCAGACAGCAGGTTCCACCGCACTGGTCAGGCATCTGAACTAAGTGGCCCAGCATCAAGTGTCTGGACATCTAGATCCTCTTTGATTCAGCCCTGCATCTAGAAAGTGTGTATAGACTGTGTTAATTTTTTTTCAGCTTCCAGAAGAAGTCTGGTTCCAAATAAGATGTGATCTTGCGGACTTGGGAAAGTACATACGATTTTGATGCCTTTCAGCCATTAGACCCTGCTTCAATGACTGATTCCTCTGATAGGTCCTTCCTCTGCTAGCTCACTTTTAGGCTTTTTTTCAGCTGAGCATGTAAAAGGATGACATTGAAACACCTGGGGCTTTACCAGCCTTGCTAGGTCTTCCATAATCTAGTAAGAACCTCAGCTGTGTTTCAGAAACTAAAATGGCATGGACCGTATTTGGTGTTTATTTTTTAACCACATACGAGACGACACATACTGCATATGCCTTTGGGACAATTTTATTGCAAAAGATATAGCAACTTGTATTCATAAGCTCAGAATAGCTTGTATATGTTACAGAAGGAGTTCTGCTGCTTTCTTCAAACGAATATACTCCCTCGAACATTTATGAAGATTTATACGTGTTATCTTGTTTTTTAATAAAACAGTATTTAGACACTTTAGTAGACGACAAGTATTTTGATTGCTATGAAAGGTTAAGAGGAGTGTGTTCTGTGCTGATCCACTTGTTTGCTTTTGTTAATGGAAGGGTGTATTCTTGCAAGTTTTGAGGCCTACGCTTAGGTTTACAGTGTTTATCAATAGGACATCCAAGTTTAGATGAGAGTTGGATTAAACATTAAACCACTTTCACACTTTGAGATCCAACAATTTCAAGGTCATCCTGAGAAGTTAATAAAAATGCACATTGGCAACCGAGTGCCATAGTTCTTCTGTAAACTTAAGATAAACCATTTAAACAACAACAAACTCTGACGTGCCCTTTATAAACGCTTGACACAGAAGATAGCTGTGCAACTTCCCTGGGAAAGAGCATTTGAAGGCTCACTGTCATTGCTTGAAGTTTAAGCTTTCAGAAGAAATTAAAATGTGTATCCTGAAGAACACGTGTGGCTCTAACTGTTCCTAATGTCTTGGCCGTCTGTGCTGCGCTTTCAGCAGAGCACAAGCGAAACACTGGGGAGTCTCTGCAGAGTACCAGTCTTCCGTGCTGCAAGAGTATGGCCGGTATGGAAAACAATATGCGGTGGTAAGCTGTTGCATTAAAAATTAAACCACAACATTAAGAGTAGATAAAAGTTAAGACGTAGGCCTGTTTCTCAGCTAGCCCCAAATTAAACCCCAAGCAAGCAGGTTTTCAGACAATGAATCTGTGTCTGAACTGAAGTCTCCAGTAAATTCAGTTTACGCTTTTTGAGATTTGTCCAGCCCATGTAAAGTCCCTTGTTGACAGAGAAAGATGCTTTCAGCAGAACGGTAGCGAGGGAGATGGGTCAGGAGATGGGGGGTATCAGGGGTTGCTCTGCTTCTACCTAACTCTCTGTCCTTAATCTTTACTTTTTTCAAGCCAGGAGGCTATTGCTGTGGAAGTGCAGCAGCACAGATTAAGTGTTAAAAACTCTGCATACATATATATTTTATGTCTTTGTTTTGCTTCTTTTGGAAGCTAGCAGTGCCCTGCGTCTTCTGTCTGGGTAGCGTTATTGTATCGATGATGTTCAGTTAAAGCTGGAACTGAATGTTTCTTCTAAGAGGAAGATCTGAACTTTCCCTGTGTAAAACTGCTGTTTCATCCAGGGTTGGTTCTGATAACCTCTTGAGAGGACCCTATAGCCTGGCTTATGTTACCGCACCAGGGAGATCACGCAGAATCTGCCATTCTCATTAGTCTGCATTATACCTACTTCACTGGTAATTTTTGAACTACTTCAGTCATATTTCCAAACATAACGATTTCAAACATTTTGTTGACAGAAAGGAGTCTCCCTTATGGCAATTTACTTCAATTAATGTTTTTACGTGAATAATAAGCATCCTGGGTCATGGTTATTTATTAAAACCGTAAAGGCTATTAAAAATCTGGTTTGTGAGTAAGATGTGAAATTTGAGTTTTAATTTCTTCCCATTTTCTGCTAGTTCCACAAGCCTGACGCGGTGTGGCTTTGATTGCCATAAGGTGCATGAACACGCACATTTTTATTGGCTCTGAAACTCCATCCCTTTCCTTCGATAACTTTGCTTAATGAACATATTTTCTTAAATTATATTGGATGGAAACATAACTAGCAACTGCTGCTTCCTAATTAAAGTGCAATTGCTTTGACCTTCTTAGTATGTCACTCCTCCCCTACTGACTAGTGATATGGCTTGTTCTTCACTTAAGAAACAACTGTGTGTTTTGAATAATCCAGGGCTGTAGTAGGTTCATTTTTAAATCAATCCATAAATCAGAAGTCAATCCCAAATTTGGGAGAGGGAGTCTGTAAATGCTCGAAATGCTACTTTTCCCAGTGTATAATACAGAACTTCACATAATTCCCTCTTTAATCCTGTTAATGGCTCTTGAATAGCTCTCCTCACACTAGAGACTGCTGTAAGCTGTTCTGAGCTGTGGTTTAACGACAGAGGTGGCTTCTCAAACGGTTTTCTGATTGCGAGCAACTTAAACCCACAATTTTCTCAGAGTCTCCTCTGTCCCGGCAGCTCTCCTGGAGTCCTGCAGGCCTTGAGCCACACAAGAGTGGAGCGAGTGAGCTAAGGGGACAAGACACTTCTCAAAATCAAATATTAATGCAGTGCTGTAGGAGGCCAGATTCCAGTTCGTGCGTGTTGGCTGCGTTGTGGATTTGGGGCTTTACTGGGGTTGACAAACGGTTGTAGGGTCGCACAGCTTGACCCTTTCCTCTTGCTTGCTTTCCAGTCTCTGCATTTGGATAAATCTCAATTCTTGAGTTTACACTAGCTGAAGCTTAACTTGCTGCTGGCAAGACAGCTGTACAAAGAGAGAATGCCTGCTTTTAAGAAGGTACTCGATTTTGGGTCATGTCCCCCTGAAAAAAAGTGTCTGGTATTTCAGCCCTGACCTGGGTGCCGGCTGATGGGCAGTGCCACACGGAGGTGCTTCTGCCACAGCGTTTGAGCAGTGTGGCTGCTCCCTGAAGGGACCTGGCCATTTCAGGAAGCAGGCGGTACGTTTTAAGGAGCTTGTGTGTGCCCAAAGGTGGGAACCAGACAAGCTGGGCCTCTCTGCTGGAAGCAGCTTTTCAAACAGGTCCAGTTACCTCCTCCGTGTTTACTGCCTCTTTTGCTATCCATCCAAATCAGAGTTTCTGAAGCCTGCAAGGGAAAAAAAAAAAAATCAACAGTCTACACAGAGCGTTATCATGCATAGGGACAGAGCTGCAATCAACCTTGCTGACTGGAAAGTGCCAGAGAAAAACACCTCCAGTATTTCTCAAACTGAGGGCTGGCATTACTCCTGTGGCACTTGGCATGCCTTCAGCATGGCGCCTGAGGGTTCCGCCTTGCTCAAGTCCATCAGTTCCGTGGCTGGGAATTAAATTCTGTGCAAATGTTTTGGATGAGCTGATTAACAAAGCGGTAGAGGTTGTCAAATTCATCCACGAAGAAGGAATGCTCCTTATCGGGGTCTGTTGCGATGGCTTCCAGTTCATCTTGGGCTGCCCAAGCAACTCCGACAGAGTAAGCTATAACTCCTGGAAAGAAACCCAGAGTTTAGAATGAGCATAAAAGTTGTCATTGCTTAAATTTGATTTAAGACCAATACTGCAAACATAGTTGCCAGGCCACAAAGATGTGGGCAGTCAGTTGCAGTGCTCTTTCTCTCTGTATAAAAATGGCATTTTCAAATTGGAGGAAAGGCCTAGTTTGTGCTTTGGAAGTACCTTTTGCCAACAGCAAAAAGGTTTAAACAGTAGTAAAGCTCTAGCTCTAGGTCTGAACAACAGGCTCCTGAGCAACAGGCTCTCGCTCCAAATGTCTTAGAATTGTGCTGGAAGATATGATTATCCTGACTGGAAAGCCAAAGAAGGCTTCATGTGTTACTAAGACAGCAGAAATCCCCTGAGATCTCCTACGCATAGCTGTATTTTGCTAGATTTATGTGAATTCACATTTTAAATAGACACTGGTCTTGCTTAGAGCTCGATGAGACCCCAGGTTAGGTGCTACTCTTTCTTCCTAAAGTTCCATCCAGTGCCTCCAAATTGTAGCAAATTACATTTCTCTGACCTGGATAAATGCTGAGGCACGTAGGAAGAGCAGCTAATGATAGAAGAGCTTACCATTTTGGTGAGCTGCCATGGCTGGCACTCTGACATCGTCATAAGACCTGCCATCTGTAATGAGAATCATGATCTTTCTTTTGTTGGGTTTGGATTTGCTGAACAGCTGCTCTGAGGCGTAGCTGATGGCTGCTCCTGTGCTGGTCCCACCACTCCAGTAACTGATCCTTTTAATTGCACTCAGCACGTCCTGCTTGGTGCTGTACTTGTCAAAGCTGAACTCGAGCCTTTGCTCATAGGTGTACTGAACAGCTCCGATGCGAGTGTCGGTGTCCGAAATCTCGAACTCTCTGCTGATGTTGGCTACAAACTGGAGGACTGTGCGGAAGTTGCTGGTGCCAACGCTGCTGGAGCCGTCGATTACGAAACCGATGTCAGCTGAATTGAGGCACGTCTTGCTGCACACCAGCCGATCGGTGTCGCAGACCCGCTTCACCAAGGGCTGCACCGCCTTGTGTAGGCTGAACCAGCTGGGCACGTTGATGGAATAGAAGCCATTTGTCCTGCACACTGCCTGCAAGGCAACACAAGGATGAATGCAATGAAAATTCAATCCACCTGTTTCAGCTGGGGTATGTAGCTAAATTGTAAATACAGGTTCCTGGAAAGAGCAATGCTGGCATCTGAAGTGGCCTCTCCTCCAGTCACCATCTGCTTCCCTGGGAAATGACATCAATGTAACATCACAGATACTTGTGTAACGAGCCAGTTTTTCCTGCTTTTTTTTAAAGCTGTGGGATGGAGCTGATATTATAGTAGTGAAAGAAATGTAATAAGCAAGTTTGCCACCTGTCAAGCTTTTTTAGATATGTTACATTGTTTGCAGAGAAAGCATCCAAATCACAGAGCTGCTGTTAGCGTGGCTCCAGTGGGCATTATGGGAGCCTGTGTGCTTGCCGGGTGGCAGCTTCAGCTCCCATCATTCAGGGCAACAAGGAAAGTTTTGCCTGCTGACAAACTACTACCTTGAACTGAAACCTGGAACTGAAGTTGGGTTATCCTTGGCTCATACCCTTCTAAGCAGAAAAAAACCCAGGCAATTTTGGTGAAAATGCAAAAAGCCCTTAAAAATTCCCTGTTGTGCTGGCTCTGCCAAATAGTGAAAAAAAAAAAAACCACATTAATTTTTATAACTGAATACTTGTAGGGAGAAGATCTGCAAGAGGCTTCTGTAGGGTTAATGGGAGTCAGGTGAGTGTGGGTGGGAGGTAGGGGTGGCACAGAAGAGGGAGTGGTAGAAGTCAAGCGGGGGGTGGGGG